TGCACCACAAGAAACTGGTAAGCTTGTCATTGAGTTCTATAGACCTATGTACCTTGTGTTGCTGGGGTAGGGAGGGGTGGGGGTGGGTGTTTTGCTGGTAAGTTAGGCCAAACATACAAGCAAAACACCCCCTCCCCACCCCCCCTCCCAGAAACAGAAGGTAGATATCAAAGCTTGGAATTAGACCATCAGTCTCCCACTTGTTTTAAACATTGATCACTTTATATTTATTTCCTCTGGCAAATTTCTCACCCAACCTTTGTGGTGGTGAAATGACAAATCCACAAATGTTAATTTCCCTCTCCTCAGGTACAGTAAAGAATTGGTCCTTTGGGAGCGATATTGTTATTGATTTGATCAGTAAGCAGGACTGTCTGTAAATGTATGCATAAATGTACACAGTGACCATGTTTCCTGGATGAGGTGGATTTAGCAACTAGAAGTAACAAACAAAGTTATAGTGTGGTACTGGCATCTTACCTGTTCCATTCTAAATGGAACAAAAGTAGCAAATTTGATTTTCTGGTGCTGGTTCTTGGGATAGGTATCCTCTTCCCTCCCTATTCATTGCATAATATACAGTTGAATCCCACAATTTTGAACTCTTAGGGGAAACTAAAAATAGTTCAAAATACCGGGAGTTCAAAAAAGCCAACAGTAAATGACTGAAGGGCAAATGGAAGGGAAATGGTTTTGAGTTCAAAATAACGGGAAATTTGAAATAACCGAGTTCAAATTAGCAGGGTTCAACTCTATTTCTGTCAGCAAAATAGGCAGCATTCCCCTAATCAAAGCAGTCTATTGTTTATAAGCATCTCAACCAACTAGCATTGCAGCTAGCATTGTCTCCAAAAATTGATAATGGTTATAGGAAATTACAGTCAAACCTCCACCATCGGCCACCTCTCTACAGCAGCCACTTTTTTTGGGTCCTGGCAGACAGTCCATACATTCACTTGTATTTTAACCTCTCTACAATACCAAATGGCCACCTCTCCACAATGGCTATGGCCAGTGTTAATCAACAACTGACAAATGGTGTATACAAAACCCCATTTTTTATTGTAAAAGGTCACCAAACTTGATCTGTACCATGCACCGCTGGTCTCTGTTTTTTGTAAGCTTCTGTTTTATTGATACATTTTTTTGATTTATATATGCTGAAATAAGCATTTTTTGAAAAAAAAAAAAGTGTGGCTCTCCCGAAAGAAAAATGCGTGTCATATTACATCCTTACCTCCCCGTAATGGCTACCTCTCTACAACAGCCAACTCT